TTTAAAGCAGAGGAAAGGAGATCTGTATTCATTTGAATAATGTAAATGCTTTTCTTATTTAAGCAATTTTCATATATAGAAAAGCTCTTTGGCTAAATTGTATGTGAGAAAAATTTACTCTCAGGATACAGAGCACACTGTAATTAGGGTGAGTAGCCATTAAAATCTTTTAAAACATAAGCATTTAAAACAATAAACTTTTTAAACATAAGCATTAGGTGTGTGTTCCATTTGTCATTTTAGAAGTACACGAATTACCAGCCCCACAATCCTGTGATTTGAGCATTCCAATAACAAAAAAAGAATAAAAAGATACTTTGGCCTTTGCTGAGTTACAGTCAGAAAACACACAAAAAAAAAAAATCTCCTTTTCTTTCTTAATTTGCTGCAGGTATTGTTTTTTTTTTTTTTTTTAAATAGTTTAGAATATGGAAAGCCAGTAAAAGAAAGGTGCTACTGTGTGCTCCTCCAGGAAGGGTGAAGAGTAATCAAGAAGCAGTTAGGAAAGAATTTTCTCCATGGATGTTTTCCAGAGGGACAGATCCCACAGCCCTGCAAACCTAGGGAGCACGGGTGAGCAGCACTGGGGTGATGGACAAGTCCAACTCCATGGAGGTGACACCAGAAAATGAAGAGTGTTTTCAGCCCATAACTGGTGTTTGACTGTGTTCACTGTCCTTTGCAAGGGGCTGTGGCAGTTCACCAACCCACACTGCTCTCTTGTTTGAGTGTCTGAACAAGGAGGCTCCCAGGAAATCACAGGGTAATTATTGATTACAGGCCTGGGAACGTCATTTTGGAGGGAGAATGGAGGTGCTCCCAGTTTCTTTGGACTGTCTGCTCCTATTATGCATGAGATGTTTCATCAATATCCCCTCTTGGATGAATAACGTAGATCGTGAAAGGGAAATTTCAGCTACTAATGTGGCTCTTCCCTCTGCTCTCCATCCTCAGGCTGCTCCTCCTGGATCTTTTTGCACAGCTTTTCTCTGCCTTTGGCTTGCAAGATGACACAGATGAACACAGAATCAAGGAACAGGGGGACAGAGCTGGTCTGAGGGATAGGCTCAGCTTTACTTCAGGCCTAGACCCTTGGTACAAGGACCTGATGGAGGAACTCCACCCACAGGAACATAAAAACATGGCTTAGCACAGCTATAGTGCTCCCCCTTTGAGGACAGCGGCACAGCACCACATGGCACACAAGGAGCAGAAGCCCAGGGCTGCTGCTTGTCACAGGGCGAAGGAAAACTCTTGTGTGTCTCCAATTTCCTCTGCTCTTGCTGCTCTAATGAGCCATCTGGTCTGCAAACACACACCCGCTCCCCGGTGCCGTGGCCACGCTCCCGGCGACCGCAGCCATCCCCATTGGAAACCACCAGTAAAGGAATGTCAGGGAATTCAGGACTGGCCAATTCGCCACTGCCTTCCCCATGTCACCAACCCACAAATCAACCAATCCATGCACAGGCTTCAAAACAATCACAGCATCCATTGTTCTTCCTCATACAAAAAGGGAGATGATGACCAGGATACATTAAGACCAATTAAACATTTCCCATTAGGAATATTTGTTTGTTTTGTTTTTTTTTTTCTGAGGTGTCCCCATCAGAGAAGTAGGAAAACCTTATTTTATTTTATTTAATGAAATTCCATATTGAGCACTGGTCATGACACAGGTTGTTGAAAATTCCAGATTTTCAATTACATTTAAAAAATAAATATATTGGCTGCATAGACAAAACTGGACAACCAGTAAGGTGAGAACTTCTGGAGGTGTTGGGAAATCAACTTCAAACTTCTTGCTCTCTCCAACTCCCAAGGAGGGTGGAGCCAGGTGGGGGTCTGGCTCTGCTCTCAGGAAACAAGGGACAGGACAAGAGGAAATGGCCTCAAGTTGTGCCAGGGGAGCTTTAGATTGGAGATTAAGGAAAATTCCTTCATGGAAAAGGTTGTCCAGCCCTGACACAGCTGCCCAGGGCACTGGTGGAGTCACCATTCCAAGAAGTGTTCAAAACCCATGTGGACACGGGTTAGTGGTGAACATGGTGGTGGTGCTGGGTTGATGGCTGGAGTACTTTTAAGCATGTTTTCCCCTTTTAACAGCAAGTTAGAAAATTAAAGGCATTTTAGAAAAATGAAAAACATAGAATGAACCACTGAAACAGCAAATACAGAATTTTTATAGAATTTTTTAATAGAGCAAATATAAAGCAGAGTAACTCTAATTTCTGAATTCGTTGATCTCTCTGCTCTTGCTATCTTAGAGGTGACTGTCATGACTTTTCTATCCACAAGAAACTATGTCCTAACAGCTAAAAAAAAAATCAACCTGAAAGCAGCTGCAGAGAACTGACCATGAATTGAGAAATGCTTCATCACAAAGCACTTCACACTTTTTTTGTTAAATGGGGAACCTCTTTAGTGTGTTTGATGTGAGCAAAACCTTGCTGTCCTTGGGTGATGTTAGTACAGAAAAATAAAATAAAATTCGATATAATCACTGATTAGAAAGAAATCAGACAGTGCTGATCACTTTAGGATGGAACTGAAATCACCAAATATCAAAGAACCACACTGTAAATGGTTATATTTACAGGGAAAGGGGGGAAAAGAAGGGCCAAAGGTTTCAATGATCACAGAATGACAGAAGCCCAGACTGGTTTGGGTTGGAAGGGACCTTAAAGCTCATCCAGTTCCAGCCCCTGCCATGGGCAGGGACACCTTCCACTATCCCAGGTTGCTCAGGGCCCCATGAGTCACTGAAGAGCTGCTGATGAACAGAGATGTAAGAAAAGCAATATGATGAGAAAAAGCCTTCTTGGCTTTGGATCCTCATGATCTCACTTATGTTTATTCTGCATTTTTAAGTGCCTGGAGAAATGAGTAGGCACTTTCAAATGTAAATGTGAAAAAGTAAATAAATACCAAATTCCTAATTTAGCAGAACTGTAATTCTGACGTACAGATAAACTGAAATGCAACCCATCATAATTAGATTTTTACCTTACCTTTCTCCTAAATAACTTTTAAAACTAGTTTTTACATTTTTTTGACATCTATTTCCACATTCCTTCCAATATAGTTTTTTTTTCCTATTTCATGAAAGCATTACTAGGAGAAAACAAGAGAAGAACAGAAATGCTCTCACATCGTTGTGATTTGAGCCAATTAATTCTTCATTAGTGTTTCCATTACGTCCGTGCCTTCCCCCAATAAAACACACACACCTGGTCCCAGTCCAAGAACAAATAACTGAACTAAATTAAAAAAACCTGAACCTGCACATGTTAAAATGAGAAAATTGCCCTCCAGCCCCCCTACCCAGCACCCAAATTGTGGTGCAGGTGGTCAAACCTCATGAGGACCAGCCTGGACAGTGGGACCACCAGTCTCATCCCTCACAAAGCCACAGGAGCTGCAGAGACCTGGTGTTGATGCTCATGGCCACCATTCACATTCCATCCCAATCCTGCTGCAGCTTTTGGCTGGGTTGTGTTTTTCGGTAGCGATGAAGAACTTTCCCTCTATCCCCCAGAATTCAAGGGTGATGATTTCTTTCCCTCTAGAAGCTTCTTATTAACAATGATACTGATTTTTCCAGTGTTGCCTGCACAGGAAGGTTGTTGGGATGGACCAAAGTCTCCTACAAAGTCAAGTCAAACCTCTCAGGGCTAAACCCCAAACCAGCAGCTAAAACATCAACAGCAGTGCTTAGACCAAGGAATTTCATTCACCAAGCTAAAAAGAATTCAGTTAGCCCATTTAGGAAAATTAATGAAAGTAAAAGCTTTACTTTAAATGTTTTATAATCTTCTGGTGGATAATCTGGGAAGCAGAATTCCCCTGATGTTCAGAGATGGAAGGAGAAGCAGCAGTAACTATTTCCCACCCGGCTTTGCCCGTTTTCACATTCACCCCAATGCTAAAGTTTTCACAATATGGCACTTTATTTCATCCCAGCTAATAATTCCTCAGTACCATCCTGGAATTTGGAAAATTCCTCACACTGAGGAATTTTCATACCATGGAAGAGAAAGTACAGAAGATCCTCATGAAAACAAAGGTGCTCTGAAAAGCTCATGAAAAGTGAGAATCCCTTATTCACTGGGAAATGATAACATTCATGGGCAGACAAAAAGACACTGCAAAAATCAGACTTCTGAGATAATTATTACTAATAATCAAGTGATTGATTTCTGTTACGAGGTCTTGGGGAACACAGACAGTAAATGGGGGATAGTAAGGATTTTTTTTCTCAGGTCCCGTTTTTATCTAAATACATAAATAGAACAACTTCTTGGTAAAAATTGTTTTGTTAAAAAATACCAACACATTGTTTACAATAACTTTGAGGAATAAAACCACTGCTACTTTATGCAACTTATCACTGACTGCTTCTATGGCCCATGTTTATTGACATGAACACAGAACCACAGAATCACAGAATTGTTTGGGTTGGAAAAGCCCTCTTAGACTATCAAGTCCAACCCACCAGCACTGCCAAGACCACCACTAAACCATGTCCCCAAGTGCCACATCCACATGGCTTTTAAATTCCTCCATGGATGGTGATTCCACCACTGCCCTGGGCAGCTGTGCCAGGGCTGAACAAACTTTTCCATGAAGGAATTTTCCCGAATATTCAACGTAAATCTCTCCTGGCACAACTTGAGGATGTTTCCCCTTGTCCTGTGCCTCGTTCCCTGGGAGCAGAGCCTGATCCCCACCCGGCTCCACCCTCCTGTCAGGGAGTTGCAGAAAACAATGTCAAAGCCTCAACCCCCCTTTTGCTGACCAAAACCTACTTTAAGTGAACAACCCTGTCACTGAGAAGCTCACAACCCTTCAGATGTGTTCTTATTCCAACCTTTCAGGCAGCACATGTTGACAGCTGAACCACATCATTTTTATTGCTGCTGACCAAGAATGAGGGAGATGGGAGACAGCACCCCTGGATGATGGGAGCAGGGAGGGGATGGGTGTCCTGTGGCACTGACCTTGCTGGAGCAGTGGGTGGTGGAAGGCTGGCACGGGAAGGTTTGCCAGGGTGGCTGGCTCACAGAAATAAGCTCTCAGCCAGGCCGTGCACTGTTCCAGTGGCTCCGGCATCTCCTCCGCTCCCTCACACACTTCACAGGCAGCCGAGGCCTCTGCCCTGATGGGAGAGACAGAAATGAAAAATTACAATGATAAAAATTGCAACCTGGTCTAGTAGAAGGTGTCCCTACCCACGGCAAGGGGGTGGAATGAGACAGTCTTGAAGGTCCCTTCCAACCCAAACTGTTCCGGGATTCTGTGAAAAAACTGAATGTTCACATTCTGTATATCAAAATCCTCAAAACATCTAATCTGGAGTTAGACTCCAGCTATTTTCTGTTCAGATAAAGGTGACAGGATTCCTCATAGCAGTAACAAAAATGCACACTCATCATCTCTAGAAATGCAACAATGACACAATGTTAGGTGTAGCTGTAAAAAAATCCATGGAAGATCGGCATGAAGAAAATGCTGTGTGTGAATAGGAAATGTCAGAGCAAGACCCAAACCCACGGTGGATGACACATCCTTGTGCTTCCGTGGAGGTTCCTCCTCCATGTCCCCCAAGGGCACAGTCCCTTCTCCCCAGGGACTATCCCTGGGGAAAGGAGGAAAGGAAGCAGCTTTCTGCTGCTCCCGTGCCTTCCTCTGCTCCGCTTCCTTCCAGCAACGTGGCAGGTCTCTGCTTTCCTCCCCTGATTGAATTGGAAGGAAGCAATTGAGAATTCATTTGATTTTCAATGGCAGCTCCTGCTTGCAGGGTCTGAAGAGAAAAGCGAGCGAACAGAAATCACCTGTAAATAAAAATGTGCTTCTTCCCTTGCTCCTTTTTTGCTTCTTCTCCTTTGGAGGAGCAACGTGTGTATGAGAGCGATGAAAATGTGAACACTGGATTTGCACATATCCAGCTGTGTTTCCCAACCTGAACATTTTCAGGGATGCAGAGCAGTGCTGGGAAAGGGGTGGTGATGCTCTCCTGGTGCTTCCAAGGCTGTGACGTTGGTGGGGATCTCTCCAAACTGCAGGATTTCAGGGTACCAACAAACAAACAGCCCATTAGTAATGCACCCCTGAGAAGTGATGGAGACAACATCAAGGGTGATGGCCAAAACAGCAATCCCTGTCAATAATCTCCTCATATCCAGAACCTTCAGCACCACTGATGAGCCATCCAAAGATTTTCTGATTATTGTAGCTTTTTTTTCCCAGGTGGAGCCAGAAGTTCCTCAACAGCAGAGCCTTCTGACGAGAGGCTGGATGTGTCACAAAGCAGGAGGAAGGGGAGAAAACTGTAGAAACATCGAAATACATGTGAACCTGAGACAACGGAACAGCAGAGGAATTGTGCCACCCAGTTGTGGGGAAAGAGCAAACCACACCCAATTCCCAGCACACTGCGAGGGAGTGACAATATTTTGTGAGATCTCTCCGAGCAAAAAGCCAAAGCAAATGAAACGAGTGATGTTCCAGTAATGGCATCAAAGGCACCGGCTCTGCCTTTGCCACAAGGCACCTCTGCGAAGAGACCGAGCGTCTTCCCACTCCTGATGCACAACAGCCTGTGGAGCCGGAGCGACGGGATGTCGGCGGGATCAGTGGCAGCCCCGGCGCTGCCTCCGGACAGGATAAATGATGTGCTGGCAGGAGCCGGGTCAGGGCCGCTCTCAGAAGCGAAGCCCTCACTTGCCTGGTGCCTGATCAAACGGCCCTGCCATGTCCCCCAGCCCCAACTCACTTTCTGATTAATTGTTAACCACGTAATTACTGATGAGGAAGTAGCAGAGAAGAGGAGGGACACAGAGATGGACAATTAAAACACTCCGGTCACACCAAAATCCGTGGTTTGGAGCAGAGGCAAAACAACACAGAAGAATCAGATTGGGATCCAGTTTGTTGGGAATTAAGTGCAATTTTATTTCTCCTTTTCCATTTATTTATCAAATTAAGGCTTTTGATTTTTCTTTTTGTGTGTGAAGTAGGACCAAATTGCTTTATAAAGCTGATGTCTAAAGCTTATCTTATTTTTTTAATTAATAATCTTTCTCCTAAAAAAAAAAATCCAAGTATCCAAGCATAAATTTTTTTACATGAAACCCCCCAATATGGACTCAAACCAAGCTTCCAGCACAAGGGATAATCCGTTATTCCACACAGATACAACACAGCAAAATATGGCTCCGTTTTACCATGGATTGCTGGAGCTACGACAAAATAACAATGACAGAATATAATGATAACGCCTCTGAAACCTCCATGAGAAGTTGGGAGACTTTTCTGCTCCATTTATCCAGAAGAGCATGGAAAGCGCTCAAAACTACAGTCGCCTTATGTTTTTCACATCATCTTGTTTCACATTCTCAGGAGTCTGGAAATGATTTGGACTATAATGTCATCATAAAATTGAACGACTCCATCTCCTTGGAGCTCAGTGAGCAGCAGCCCCAGGAGCTGCCAGACAGGGACCAACCCAACAGGTCCAAACTAACATCATTCACCCCCAAATCAGGCGGGGAGCAGCTCTGGGGAGACTCTGGGAGCCCCTTCCAGTGCCTAAAAGTACCCAGAGAGCTGGAGAGGGACTTGGGACAAGGGCTTGGAGCAACAGGACAAGAGGGAATGACTTCCCACTGCCAGAGGGCAGGGTTAGATGGGATATTGGGAAGGAATTCTTGGCTGGGAGGGTGGGGAAGCCCTGGCACAGGTTGCCCAGAGAAGCTGTGGCTGCCCCATCCCTGGAAGTGTCCCAGGCCAGGTTGGACAGGGCTTGGAGCAACCTGGGATAGTGGAAGGTGTCCCTGCCCATGGCAAGGGGTGGGATTGGATGAGCTTTAATATCCCTTCCAACTCAAACCATCACACACACATTCCTCACTTCTATTGGGTGTTCCCTGTAGAAGTGCTGTTTGGATAAAATTTGTTTTTTTTTTTAATTTTTTTTTAAATTACTGGTTTTAAGAGCAGTGCCCTATCACTGCTGAACATCTCCAGATGTTTCTGGTGGGACCATTCTCCCAGTAGTTCAACACCAGACACTTTCCCAACACCTGCCAGCTCCATGGCCACCTCCACCTCAGCCAAGAAAGTGAACCCTTTGCACAGCAAAAATGAATTTCCTTCCAAGAATGCACTGACTCCTTTTCCTGTAGGATACAAATTCCACTTGCCAACATACACACCAAGAGCTTCAAATTGGCAGGGAGTTAAAAAAAAATAAAACCCCCTCATATTAATTTTGCTTGGCTAGAGATGGTAACAGCTATTCCTGGGAATTTGACAGCATTAATAAAGAAAAAGAACCAACATAGCTTATGCATGGGTGTCTTCTGCTGGCCCTCCTCCCACTCCTGCCCCTCCTCCCACTCCTGCCCTTCCCTCTTCCCCTTTCCCATTCCAAACCTGAATAGCAGGACTCCTACAAAAGGCATTAAGAATCTAACTGAAAACACCAGCTGCCTTTTGAAGGATTTTCTCAGGCTTCAAAGCTGTTTCTTGGTCCAACTAAACCACACATTTGTTTGAAAAGCAACGTCAAAGTGGCCTCAAAACAGGAAAAGGGAGCAGATGAGTTACATAATGGGAAATTTCCCCCTTGTAGGAAATTCCTCTGCTCAATATTAGACTTTTTGGAAGGTTTTTGAACACTCTACTCCATCCATGGATTTTCAAGAATCTCTACTGTCAAGATGGTCAGGAAAAAGTTCAAAATTAGGGAAAAATACCCATCTAGGAGTCATATTAACTACTTGTGCCTAAATTTTAGCAATGAATAAGAAAAAGGAGCCCTTCTTAATGTCCTGCCCTTGGTGATGCCCAAAGAAAAGGACCTGTTCTTGGTCACAGAGGCACCAACACACAGGGTGGAAGCCAAAGTGGCTACTCATTATATTTTACCTATAGGAAGCTCAAGTCTTAAACCGTCAACAAGATATAATTTTATACAGGAAAATAAAATCAGCATATTCATCTAAAAAGAAAAAGAACAAAAAACAGAATATACAAAAAAATCCACCTGCTTTACTTTTGTCCCAAAGAATATAATTTTCTTTCCTTAAGTACCAACACCTTTCTCAAATGGGGCTAGAATGATTCCATAAATAAAGAATGGGAAGGATTTATTTAAAATGCACCAGTCTTATTTAAATCACTTCCACTTTCATCAGAGACTGTCACTGCACTTGTTTTCATTAGTGAATTGTGTTGGGTGCTGCCTGACCTCTCAAAAAATTCAAAGAGAAGGTTTTTGTATTTTCACCTGGTCAACAAGTAATCCCTTCTGTAAGGTTTTAGTTTGTATGTATTTTATTTAATTATGTTATTATTTTATTTTATTGCACTATTTTCTGTTTTGTTTTACATTTTTTACTTTATTTTATTTTATTTAACATAATTCTTTTGTTTGCATTAACATGGCAGCCTCTAACATGTCAGCAGTGAGTTACATGTCTGTCTTAACTTTTTGGTTAATGCAAATAAATTGGTTAAATGGATGTTCAGCTGCTCATGACCGACTCACCTTCACAGCTTTACAGTGTGATGCTTTAATTAAAACTCCAAATTCCTCCAACAGAAAAAAAAAGCTTGTTTTAAGCTATAAAAAGACACCTAAAACACATATGTATTTTTTAAAGGTGGGTGTCTCTGTGTGTACACTTGCAAGAGACTTTTTTTCCAGGCCAGGGAACCACTGCTGCTGATCAGATCTCCAGCCTGTGGTGGTGAAGTCCAAGAGAGCCGTATGATCATTCCTGACATGGGAATCCACCACAGCCCAGGAGCAGCCCTGCTGCTCCAGTTTTCCCACCGAACAGCTATTCCATGCCATTCCTATTGCAATCCCATGCCTCTCTTTCCATTACAGCCCTTTGCAAAGCCTGAACACACCAGGGAAGCCAGTTGGCTCCTGTGCTTGTGCAGCTGAGAGGTGTCTTCCCAAGGCTCCATCCCAGCCGTGTTTCTTCTGTGACTTCTCATGTTTGCATGGGATGAAATGAAGGAAAAGATGGTTTTAGCAGAGCGGGAGAAAAGCAGAAACACCACCTGTTTCAGTTTAACGGGCTCCTTCCAAACCACTTGCCAAGAACTGGAAGTTTCTACCGCGCTTCCAAAATAAACATGTAA